TCTCCCATTATGAATGCTGTGGCCTAAGAATTGAACCATGTCCACTGTTTTCCCAGACACATTAGCAGGGAGCTGGATGGGAAGTGGGACTTGGACCAGAACCCCTAGGAAATGCCAGTGCCTCAGGCAGCAGCTTTACCGGTGACAATACAGCCAAACCCAAGGTAAACTTGCAGATTCGGCTGTTGTCTATGGGTTTCTCCAAATGTGGATTGCAATATTATTTACACTTTTCTACTGGATTGTTAATGTTTTTTTTCCTCACATTTTAAAATGGTTTTAGAGTTTCGCTTTATTATTTCTTAACTTAATATTATGATTTCAGCAGTAAAAAAATAACTTTACATTGTAAGACCTTGCTCTTGCGTTATTTCTTGGTTTATGTAAAAATATTAGAGGTTTTTGAGACGATCCAAGCCTACTAAAATCTTGGTAAGGAAGCCACACCTTCAAGTGGGTGGCATGGAAATTGCTAGCCATTTCCTAATTGGCTGAGAGGCCACCAATAAGGAATATCTTTCTCACAGGTTCCAGCCCACACAAGGCGGGGTCAGGGTATGCTTAAAATCCCAGGACCTTTCCAATGTCTCTCTAGCTTTCCATTCAGCAGGCACCCTATCTCCTGGCCCCATCCCGGGTGGTGCCTTCCTCTTCACTGTTCCTGGCAAGTAACATATGGCTGCAACCGATACGTGGCTTTTGTTTCTACAGGAAGCTGAGGAAAGAGCCCACAGAGCTTTTCTGGTAACAATTTTCTCTAGTGCAAACATGGTTGTGCGGTTATGCAAAATTATTTTAAAAAATCTTGATAGAGGGCCTGGTGCGGGGACTCAGTCGCAAGTGCTGGCATCCCATATCAGGATCCAACCCAGCCCAGCATGGCCAGGCCCACTCTCAGATCTAGTATTATGCATCCCAACAGGTGCTGCAACCTGTTCAGGGTGACCCCAAGAACTTCAAACAGGCCCATATCCAGATCTGGCCCCCTTGCAACCAGCAGGTGCTGCAGCCTTGCCCAGCATGGCCTGCCTCTAGCCCCAGCTCTCGTGTACTCCAGTGGATGCTGTGGCCTAGCTGAGGTGATCCCAAAGAACCCCTATCAGATCTACCCCAAAATACTGCAATCCCAATCACTGGCAGGTACTGTGACCTAGCCTGGCCTGATCTATTCCCAGCTCCAGCTCTTGTGCGTGCAGGTGGTGGGAGCTTTGGCCTGATACAGGCAGGTCCTCTAGATTCCCTCTTTCGATCCATTGCATTTCAGATCCCTCAATTACCTGCAGGTGTGGTGACCTGGTTTATGGAAACTCCCAGAAATAATTTTGTATATGTCAACAAGCCCTCAATGGCTCCCATTCCAACCCATCCCCAGTCCCCCAGCTCCTAGCAGTGCATGCCCCACCCCCATGTGGCAATGGTGGTGGGATGGCCCTGGCTGGTGGATACCTATAGTGGCAAGGCACGTGCACCATGCTCTTCCACCCAATCCTTAAAATTATTAGAAAAAATAGAATAGACAATTATGTTGGCACACTGGCATAATTCACATAGAGCTGGTGTTAACCAGGCCCAGAATACCTACCAGCTATTGGCTGCTTTTCTCTGGCAGTGTAGCACTTACTTAGGTGTAAGGAAAGCTGAGCCATTGCCTACAGCTGGGAAAAGGTTATGTCAGATTGCAGCTTCCAACAAATTCCAAGTGGCATTTGATTCTTACAATAAAATTACAATCTTACTATCTATTATTACATAACTCTGATATGTATTATACATATTATTGTAATACATGTTATTATTACATAACTCTTTTTATGTATTATGTATTACATAACTCTGATATGCTGCAGCAAAACCAAGGAGTACAGAAAAGAAAAATCAATTCCTCTATCTCCTATACTCAGCTAGAATGTTAACGACTCTCTTTTCTTCAATAATGAGTCCACTTTTGTTTTACTTCCAGGAGGAATAGACAATGTAATAATAATGATCCAAAACTAGTCATGAGTTCTTTTTGAAAGGATACACTGTTGTTTTTCTTTAGAGGTACATAAAAGTGTCCACTGGGAATAGAGTACCCATACCTTACCCATCTCACCAATTACACTTTCATCTAGTAATCTAAGAAAATACAAAATACTGAACTAGATAAAATGATTTCAATGATTCATTTTACAGAAGATATGCAGAGTTTTTAAACGGAGATATTCTGGAGCTGTAAAGTGAATCTACCTTGCAGGAAAGTGTTCTGCCTTAATTCTAAAAATTCTTACATGTTTCTTAATATCAAATGGTCATTGGTACAAAGGAAATAATGACTCGAAATACATGTTTTTAGATATGTGATTCTTAAGAGGTAGTGCCTTATTGATTTCCTTTATAACAGTAATCACAAGTTTCGCGGTTTATACCTGCCCGCAGGCCCCAAGGTCACCGAGGGTGAGGCAGCTATGTTCTTCCGCTGTAAGAACCACCGGAGACAAGCTGGTAAAGAATGTCCACTTTATTATGCACAGGTCCCAGCTTTTAAAGGGTAAGAAAGGTGTCTTCTGGCAAACACCCCCTCCCATCCCCCCCCCATATCAAAGACTCTGTAATTGGTTGTATGACCTGTCTATTTCCCTTGACCTTCTGGATATGTCCGAGGTCATGTCCACATGTATTCCCCTTGAACTTCTAGTCATGTCCGAGGTCATGCTCCACGTGTAGGCCTCAAAGCTGTGTCTCAGGCCACTGGGAGGTAAGCTTTAAGCCACACCCACCAGGAAGCAGACAAGGGCCCGGAGCTGTTCCACTTACTTTCCAGCTCGCTCCTAATGCACTTGAAAACACAATGGAAGATGACAAAAGTCCTTGGGCCCTTGCACTTACTTGTGTAAGACTTGGATGAAGTTCCTGACTCTGGCAGGGACCAGCCCTGGCTTTTGCAGCCATTTGTGGATGAACTAGTGGATGGAAAATATCCTATCTCTTTCTCTGTTTTTCAAACAAATAAAATAGAGAAATTTTAAAAAATTTCCAAAACTAGTCATCGGAATGTCATCCATTTTAGATACTTCTCAGATCCCTGACACCTGATGGCAGACCCAGAGCAGAAAACAACACAGCTGTTGTTTGCTCTGGGGTTCTTACAGCCTAGCATACTCTTAGAATGCCCAAGCTGCTTGGTGACTTCTGTTGACAGCTGGGCAAAAGAAAACCTGGTCTAAAGAGAGAATACACTTACAATAAATAAATAAATAAATAAAATTACCAGGATGAACAAGGTAACTGTTTCAAAAGATGCTATTTACTTTTGCTTTGAAAGCCCATATGGATCAAGAGAATTTTACTTTCTCTTGGTTGAGAATATTTCACTTCATTTTGATTGGTTATTTCAGAAAATGAAGGCATGACTCTTACAGTTGAATGTCCAACACACCTAATGTATTGAATGATTGTTAACTGGGAAAATGCATGTGGCTGAAATATTTGAAGACACAGTAGCTCAAGGAGCATGCCACAGTAGGCCTAGCCACAGCTTGGGATACCCACATCCATAACAGAGCCTGGTTTGAGTCCTGACTATCCTATGATCCAGCTTCCTGCTACTGCTCCTGGGAGACAGTGGATGGTGGTCCAACTACTTGTCACCCATGTGGGAGATCAGATAAGAGTTCCTGGCTCCTGGCTCTGGCCTGACCCAGCCCGCTGGGCCTTTGCACACTCCACTGATCACACACGGTGAGTGTCCTTCCTTCTGTTTTCTATCCAATCGCCACTTTTACAGTGGAAGATCTCTTTGAAGGTTCAAGCCAACGAATGGGCAGCCTCTGCCTCTGGATCTCATCTCCACCACTTCTTCTCACCCATCGCTCTGCTGCAAGTCAGTGTTTCAGTGCAGAAGTCTGGCGGCCGACCAAGTATCTGTGATTAGAAATGGGGAATCTACTGCAGCAATAAAACATTCTGTTGGAAGAATCGAGAGCCCATGTGGGTTTAAAGGAAGCCAAATGTTCACCTTTCCTGTTAACTGGGAGAAAATCTCAGACGGTGTTCTCAGCACCCAAGCTGGGTACAAGTTAGCAGATCTCAAATCCAACAGAACAGCAGAAGACAGATATGTGGATAAAAATAAATTTCTTGGGCCTGGCATAATGACTCAATTAGCTAATGCTTCCCTTGTAAGCGCTGTGTCCGGGCTGCTCCACTTCCCATCCAGCTCTCTTCATCTGGGCCTCCCACGTAGGTGGCTGGAAGGCCCAATCACTGGGGTTATCTTTCACTTTTTCCAGGCCCTTAGCAGGGAATCGCATTAAAGGTGGAGCAGCCGGACACTAACTGGAAGCGCGCAGGTGGCAGCTTTCCCACAGAGCTGGACCCTGGAGGATCTGTCTTCAGGTTGATAAGGGGACTTCCGAGCCATCAGTCACCCTGCTAGGGCTGTGCTCTGTGACCCCAAGCCTCACAACTGTCGCAACCGTGCCCACCCAAGTCGATCCTCCTTCCGAGGTTGTATCCCAGGCCTGGGCAAGCCATGCGTCCTCGGCAGCAGCGTCAAGAAGGCGCGCTGAACGCTTCCGGACACACCAGGAAGCCCTTTAATCGTCAGTGAACATCCACGGGCTCGGTCACCAAATATCCCTTCCTCGGGTTACTGATAAGGGGTATCCACGCATCTCAGGCCAAAGAAACGATTATCCCACCCCGAGAAGACTCCAGAAGCCCAAACACAACCTCTCCAGCAGCCACGCCGCCACCCAGCTCTACTCAGTCCCGCCCAGCGCTTGGCGGGAGGTTCCCGCACGTGACCACTCCGAGTGGGCGCGGAGGACGCACTGCAGCACCTGAGCCCACAGAGGCCCCTCTGGCCTCTCGTCTCTATGATCCTCTTTGTGACCCGTCGAACGACGCCGGAGTTCCGGAGCTCCGTGCCAATAGTCCTCCCCTCCGACAGAGGGCACCGCAGCGACCTGACTGGTTTTCCGTCACCGCCTCGAGTCCTGACGGCGAGGACCGGCGCCGGCGCATGCGCGCCCGGTGGCGGGGCACTGTAGCCGGGAGAAGCCCCGGCACGGCTGGCACTGCGGGCTGCGCGCGTGCGCCGTGGCGAGCTCGGCGCTGGCCTGGGTCGCCGTGCGGAGAGCAGGAGTGGTGAGCGCCGGAGAGGGCCGCGGGGATGTTCCGCAAGGCTCGGCGGGTGAACGTGCGCAAGCGGAACGACTCGGAGGAAGAGGAACGAGAGCGGGATGAGGAGCAGGACCCGCCGCCGCTGTTGCTGCCGCCGCCGGGCGCCGGCGAAGACGCGCCGGGCCCCGGGGGAGAGTCGCTGCTGGGCCCCGGGCCGCCTTCGGCGCTCACCCCGGGCGCCGCGGCCGAGACCGGAGGGGCCTCCGGCTTCCCCGGCGCCGCGGAGCCCGGCAACGGGCTGAAGCCGCGCAAGAGGCCTCGCGAGAACAAAGAGGTGCCCCGGGCCAGCCTGCTGAGCTTCCAGGACGAGGAGGAAGGTAAACCGCCGCGCCGGGGACACCCCGAGGACCCCCCCAGGCACGGCGGGGCGCACCCCAGCCCGCCCCCGGCCGTGCGCTCCGGGCGAGGACGCGTTCCCGCGTTGGCACCGCTAGCCTTGCCTCGCCACCTGCTCTCCGTCTCCCAGTGCGCTTCCGGGGCGTCGCAGCCGAGATGGGTGGTCCTAGTGGACACTGGATCCTGTGCGTGCTGGAGAGTCAGGGAGACCGAGCATCGGGTCCTCTTTGCGTCCTCTTCGAGTCCTGTGTGGGTCGCTGCACCCACGCCTCGTGGCTGCCCAGCCCTGCCCTGCCCAGGCCATCCTTGACCAGTGTTTACGACCAGGCCTGTGCGCAGACAGGTCCAGGCACTGGCAGCTGTCCTGCTAAGCACCCCTTGCCCAGGACGTCCCCTCACAGTCCCTCATTCCCTTACTGTTGCAGAGAGAAGCTCAGCTCCCCACCCCTTTCACCTCCCAGTCCACTGGGGCTGGAGGTGGCTCCAGCCTTGGCCGTGGAGGCCACTTCAGTGGGTGTAATCCAGCCGTTGCCGTGTTAGGAAGAAAAACGTGGGGAGTGGGAAAAAATCCCGTTCTTGTCCTGTTGGTTGCAGAGGCTTTACTGGCTTCTAATCAAGGAGGCGGTGTGGACTTTGTTGCGTCGCCGTTGTTACTTTGTTTCCAAGGGATGCTGGCGCATTTTTTTTTTCCTTTTTTTTAGAGGTGGATTAGTTACTGCTCAGCCGAGGCTTGCAGGACTTGACAGCACTCTCTGCTCTTACATGTTTTGTTTCAGATTCCTTAATAGCTCCGTGGTTGGTTGGTTGGTTGGTCTTTTGGAAACATTTTGGATGACCCCTGCCCCCCCCCCAAGTGATTTAAGGGAAACTACAGGAGATTGGAAACTGGTGATATTCCATGTGTTACGCCTAAAAGCCTCAAAACATGTCGACCTCTGTTGGTTTCTGAGGTTGACATGCTTTTGAGTGTGTACAACAGACTTGGGGGAACCTCAGCCGTTACGTAGGGATTTTTCGCATGAACTTATGTTTGGAAGAATTTGGCTGAAGAGCAGGTGGGATGGTACGGAAGAACGGAAAATGTTTACAGCAGACTTCATTTCTTTCTTTTAAGAAAACGAAGAGGTGTTCAAAGTGAAGAAATCCAGCTATAGCAAAAAAATAGTGAAGTTGCTCAAGAAAGAATACAAAGAAGACCTCGAGAAATCCAAGATTAAGACCGAACTCAACTCAGCCGCTGACAGTAAGTACCAGCCTGAGGGTGTTTGGAAATAACAAAGATGACAGGCTTTTTTTTTTTCTTCGTGGTTCCTCAGGCGTGTCGTGAACCTGTGCAGCTGGCTGTGTTTGTCCTTGGGGGCCACCACGCGTGGCAGCACTGTTCCTCAGCTGCTACGGAAATGTTATTGTAAGAGCAGTCGCTGCCGCCGGACCGCAGGGTTGGGGCCGCCGTGACTTGAGTTCCCTGCCAGGGTTCCACACTGGTCCTGGGCAGAACCTAGAAGTTTCTTCCTTCCAGGCAGTGTTGTGCAGATGGCTGTGCTTGTGTTTATTTGAAATGTTGAACTGTGTCTGGTGGTACTTGAGGCTGAGCTCGATTCAAGAGGAACTGGTAGGAATGGCCAGGGGTCATTTTCGCTAGTTCACCTCCAGAGGCAAGGGGCAGGTGCCTGCAAAGCTAAATTTATGAATTTAAATGATTTGTTAGTTTTTGAGAAAGTGAGTCCATTATAATATGTTATGATGTGAGTAGTTCTTAAGCCAGTAGTTTGGGGATACCTGGAGTTGAAGGATTTAGAAGATGGAGAGTGAGTGTTTTCTATGAAGGGGAGGTGGTGTTGTTGGAAATGTGCAGTCTGGTTGTGGAGTTAGCATCCTGGAGATGGAAACAGTGGTAGGAATGGCCAAGTGTAGGCTGGAGGATCCCTAGCATTTTGTTTTTGAAGGAGGAATGACCCCTTGAGTGAAAAACTGGTGCTTGCAGTTGGATGCTTAAGAAGATTCTCTAGGGCCCAGTGCAGTAGCTTAGTGGCTAAAATCTTTGCCTTGCCCACACCGGGATCCTATATTGATGCTGGTTCTAATCCCAGCAGCTCCATTTCCCATCCAGCTTCCTGCTTGTGGCCTGAGAAAGCAGTTGAGGATGGCCCGAGGCCTTGGGACCCTGCATCTACTTGGGAGAACTGGAGGAAGCTCCTGGTTCCTGGTTTAGGGTCAGCTCAGCTCCAGGCATTGCGGCCACTTGGGGAGTGAATCAGCAAACAAAGATCTTCCTCTCTCTGTCTCTCCTCCTCTGTGTATATCTGACTTTCCAATAAAAGTGAATAAAATCCTAAAAAAATTTAAAAAAAAGATTCTCTAAGAGGGAAGCTGTGTGAGTGAGAGGTGTCGTCAAGGATCGGAGAGACCCAGTCAGGCTGTGTAGGGAAGGGATAGGGCAGCCTGCCAGGCCAAAGCAGCTGATTGCCGAGAGCAGTCGCTAAGAAGCTAAGGGGCAGGTTGCAAGGGTTGTTCAGCATTCAGTCGGCAGTTTATGATTGCCCACTCCCGGCCTTGACCTCGTGTTAACCTGCTGAGTGATTAGCCTCAATAGAGGTAGGGCCTGATGCCTTTTACACTCAAGGACCAGCTTGGATTCAGTGGGTTTAAAGGCCCTGGCCAAGGACGCTGGCATGGTGGTCTAGTGAGTAACACCACCACCTGTAACACTGGCAACTGAATGGGCACCAGTTTGTGTCCTGGCTGCGCCACTTCCAATCCAGCTCCCTGCTCATGTGCCTGGGAGAAGCAGCAGCAGCAGACAGCCTGACTGGGCCTCTTGCTGCCCACGTGGGAGACCCAGTGAAAGTTCCTGGCTTCAGCCCAACCCTTTTGCCTTTCTGAAGAGTGTGTCAGTAGATTCAGCATTTCTAACTTTTAAATAAATCATTTTTTTAAAAAAAAGTCTTAAGTACAATTGAGGCTTTTCCTAACTTGGGCGAATTTGTCAATGGGTTAAAACATATTTGGTGTCTGGGCCAAAACAGGAGTCAATAAGCTGGTCCCCTGCTGGCAGTGCTGGCATCACATATGGATGCTGGTTCTAGTCTTAGCTGCTCCACTTCCAATCTAGCTCCCTGCTCATGGCCTGGGAAGCAGTCGAAGATGACCCAAAGCTTTGGGACCCTGCACCCATGTCAAAGATCCGGAAGAAGCTCCTGACTGCTAGCTTTGGATTGGTTCAGCTCTGGGCATTGCAGCCATAGCTAGAGCGAACCGAGTGGATGAAAGATTTTTCTTTCCTTCTGCAGTTCTGCCTTTTAAATGAAACTAAATACATCTCTTTTTTTTAAAGATTTATTTTTATTGCAAAGTCAGATAAATATAGAGAGGAGGAGAGACAGAGAGGAAGATCTTCCTTCCAATGACTCATTCCTCAAGTGGCCGCTACGGCTGGAGCTGTGCTGATCCGAAGCCAGGAGCCAGGAGCTTCCTCCAGGGTCCCAAAGCTTTGGGCCATTCTCTTACTGCTTTCCCAGGCCAAAAGCAGAGAATTGGTTGGGAAGTGGGGCTACCGGGATTAGAACTGGCGTCCATATCAGATCCCAGTGTGTTCAAGGAGAGGACCTTAGCTGTTAAGTCACTGTACTGGGCCTGCTAAATAAAGCTTAAAATGCATATTTGATGTTGATGTGGGAAAACAAATGTAAAGGAAGATGTAATTAGAGAAACATTCCAGGGGAAGATTTGATAATCTTGATATAACTGGTTTTGCTACTGGATTTCTTTAAGTCAAAATTTGAGCTGCTTTTTTTGGCAAATGAGTCTAGGAGAATTTGTTACTTTAGAGTATAAAAATTGCCTCATTTGTCTCAGGCTCTTGAGAGGTATTAATGGAAACAGTGTTACAGTGTAGCTAGCTAAGGTGCTGCCTACAACAGGAGCACCCCATGTGGTCATCCTTTCTAATCTTGGATGTTCCACTTCAGAGCCAGTTTCCTGATGATGTCCTGGGAGAAGCAGTGGTAGATGGCACAGGTGTTTGGGTGTCTTCCATCCACATGGGAGGAGGCTCAGGAGAAGTTCTTGGCTCCTGGTTTCAGCCTGGCCCAGTCCTGGCTGTTGCAATCATCTAAGAAATGAACCAGCAGACGAAAGCTCTCTCTCTCTCTTTCTCTCTCTGTTTCTCTCTTTCTTTCTCTGCTGTTTTAAATTTATGTAGGGTAAAATAATGTAATAACAGCAAAAAAATCAGATAAGACTGGCCAATCCTCTACACTTTGGCACCGACATCCCATGTGGGCGCCAGTTCGTGTCCAGCTTTCTGGTTGGGGCCTTGGAAGGCAGCAGAGGCTGGCCCAAGGCCTTGGGCCCCTGTGTCCACATGGGTGATCCAGAAGAAGATGCCTGCTCCTGGCTTTGGCTTGGCTCAGCTCAGGCTGTTGCTCCCATTGGGGAGTGAGCCAGCAGATGGAAGACCTCTCTCTGTCTATCCTTCTCTCTGTAAGTCTGCCTTTCAAATAGAAATGAATAAATCTGCAACAATGATCAATATTGTCATAACTTTTACTGAAAGAATGGTACAGTTAAGCAGTTTAGTTGATCAATTCCTGGTCCACAAATTTTCCTTCTTCTACTTCTTGAGGCCTGAGAGACATAATAACTTCAAAGCAAGATCTGTGCTGGCTGGAAAGAACTGTGTTGGTGATATTCTAAAGTGAGGAGTATATTGCTTTTCTTGAGTTTAAGAAAATAGCTAGTGAACAGTTGGAATTATAGACTTAGATCCTTGTCCTAGAGATTTTTCTTTTTTAACACTTGATCTTAGCCAAAAGGCTGAGAAGCTATGTTTTTTTTTGTTTGTTTGGTTGGTTTTTTTGAGATTTATTTTTATTTGAAAGATTTACAGGAGAGGGGAAAGAGATCTTGCATTTGCTGGTTAACTTCCCCAAATGACTGCAATTGCCAGAGCTGATCCAGTCTAGAGCCAGGAGCTTCTTATTGGTTCCCACGGGGATGCAGGATCCCAAGGCTTTGGGCCATCTTCCCATCCACTTCTTTCCCAGGCCACAATCAGGAAGCTGGGTGGGAAGTAGAGCAGCCGGGGCAAAAGTTAGTGCCAATATAGCATGCCAGCTTGCATGTGGAGGATTAGTCCATGGAGACATTGTGCTGGCCCCCAGAGAAGCATCTGTTACAGCAATAGTTAAGGGGTGGAATTGACGAAGGAGTGGTGTAAAGGAGATATGAGTTAGAACTTGCGACTTCTGCCCTGTTGTAAGCCCAGAATTGGAAGTGTTACCAGAAAGGCCAAAGATGAGGCTTCAGAAGATTCTGATTCAGGAGCGGCCAGGAGAAGTTAGAACCAAAACTGTTGGGTGGCTAGGTTTTTCTTGGGAGGTGGGAGTGTGAGTGATAGGCCTTGGTCCAGTGGCAGAGTGGGTGCCCATAGGGCGCTTTGGAAGAAGGATTGCCTTTTACGCTCTGGCCACAAGCCATTGCATTTGCTGTCGTGCTTACAATGGGAAGATTCAAGGGTGATTTGCTGTAGCTTGGACATGCTAATTGGTGACAGGGCCTGCACTGTGACAGAGGAGCCAAGGCACCGCGTGTGTGCATGTGTGCCCGCCTCCTGTGTTTGTGCCTTCCTCAGTCCTAGCTGCCCTGCTTTCTCTCCCTTGCCTTGCTGCTGTGCTTAGGAGGGCAGAAGGGAGTGCCAGGCTCCTGGCTTAGGTCCAGCCAGCCCTGACTGTTGCAGGCATTGGGGGAGTGACCCAAGGGATAGGGTTCTCTGTGTGTGTGTCACTCTCCCCCTCAGAGAATTGGTACATAAAATCCTGGGTGAGGAAATGGAAGGCAGCAGGTTCACACAGCTTCTTTGACTGAGTCTAGAGGGCCACAGGAAGGGGGACCTGCGGGACCTGGAAGTTGTTATGATGAGGGGAAGGCAATGACCCTAAGGACTGACGGGCGGGGGAGCGTGGCAGGTGGGAGGTCCCTGGGGGAGATGGTGACTGGAATGGCAGGGAAGAGTGGATCTGGAACAAGGTTATTGAGCATCTCTGGGGATCTGCGGAAGAAGGTGGGGATAGTAGCAGACATCTAGCTGCTTTGATCGTTTGTAAACATATACTGTGAACTTGAGGAAACATGAATCTTTTAGAATCTGTGGGAAATCATCTGTCACCTGAGTGTAGCTGATTGAGCAGTTTTGTTTTCAGTCTACTGAAAGTCATTGATTTTGTGTGGATTTAGAATGGAAGGAAATAGGTAGTTTGTGATTTCAACTAACCCAGCAGCTGCTAAAGTGAGTTTCAAAGTTGTAAAATTTCAAAACGCAGGTGAGAAGAAAATCTGTGGTTAAGGAGATAGTGTGGTAGAAGCTCCAAGACCAGGACAACCTGTACTGCTGGTAGACTTCAAAAGAGGGAGGGGTACTGCCTCTGAATGGTCAGTGAAGGGAGCAGATGTGTGGGGTTTAAGAAAAGGAGAACCCCAAAGCGATTTTTGGGAGGAGAACATGCTGGGAAACTTGCCTGTTGAGAATAAATATTTACTTCACTCTTTCATCGTGTTCATTGTGTTTAGTGAGAGCATTACCAAGTTCAGTACTGCCAGGTAAAAAAATTCTCAGTTTTTTGGGGTGTGTATATGTGGAGGGGGCTGTCTGTTATAAGAGAGCAAAATGAGACAATCTGTTTGTAAGTGATGTAAGTCGGGGAGTTTTTCCTAAGATGGAGTGAGTCTCCTTGGCCTGGACTGCAGGAAAGCAGCAGTCCTGAGGTGGCCCCAGGAAGGGGTGGCAGGGTGGGTGCTGGAACCTTCCTTTCCCCAGGCCGCCCTGGTTTGTTGAGGTGGTGCCAGAAAGTGGGGGCCTGCAGCCTCGGCCTGAGGGCTCACATGTCCATGGTGCCTGTGATCCCTGTTTCTGTCCCAGTTCCAGGTTACTAGAATGTCAGTCTGGTTAGCTCTGCTTCTGTTAGATCCCACCCTGACAGCCTGTTAGGGCGTTGGGGCTGGCCCTCGCAGGTGCAGTGTGACAGGGATGCTCCTCCAGGATGGTGCTAAGGCAGTGCGACGGATCTGAGGAAGCATCCGTGAAGGTGCTTTGCTCCTAACAGAAGACTGCTTTGAAGAGGCTTAGTACATAAAGTCAAACCATGCTTGAAAGAAGTAGAAGCAGTATTTTGAATATTTTCGCTGTGAAGAAATGTTATGTATCTGAGGAGCGAGTTGTTTCTCCTTATTGGACACTACCTACTGTGTATATCACAAGGTTATCCCAAAAGTGTGTTAGGTAGGAGAGCTGTTTTTAATTCTTAAGGAAGTGTAAGTAGTGACCTCTGGTTGCTTAGAAGAAACAGCTTTGCTGAGTGGCCGAAGTTTTGCTAGAATCCCCTTGAGCAGGGCCTCAGGTGCAGCCCTGTGTCCTCCACTCTGTTTACCTCATGTCTCCTGTGCTAGCTCAGATACCAGACAGCCGCTGTGGCTTGAGGTTAATTTTTGTCAAAAGTGAAAATACTTCAAGCTTCAGTGAATTGATGCCATATGGTTGAACAAAAAGTACCTGTTTAGTTTATGGATTTCATTTGAAATATAGCCTAATTACCATTCACACTTTTAGATGAACAGCCACTGGACAAAGCCGGACATGTTAAGGATGCAAACCAAGAAGATGGAGTTCTCATTGGTGAGCATGGCGACGATGAGATGGACATGGAGAGCGAGAAGGAGGAGGAGAAGCCCAAGGCCGCGGGGGCCTTCTCCAATGCGCTCTCGTCTCTGAATGTTCTCCGGCCAGGTGTGTGCTTGCTGATGTTAACCCTCAGCAGTGGGCCTTGATGAAAGGTGGGAGTGGGGAAAGGTGTTAGGGAGGTGGGAGTTCTTAGGCCATTTCTGGTTGGTTTTTTTTTTTAAAGATTTATGTATTTTTTTTATTAGAAAGGCAGATACACAGAGAGGAGAAGAGACAGAAAGATCTTCTGTTTGCTGATTCGCTCCCCAAGCAGCCGCAATGGCTGGAGCTGAGCCAATCCAAAGCCAGGAGCCTCTTGTGGGTCTCCCATGTGGGTGCAGGGTCCTAAAACTTTGGGCTGTCCTCGACTGCTTTCTCAGGCCACAAGCAGGGAGCTGGATGGGAAGCTGGGCTGCTGGGATATGAACCCATGCCCATATGGGATTCCTGCACATTCAAGGCGAGGACTTTAACTGCTACATTATCACACTGGGCCCAGGCTATTTCTGTTTGAAGCCACACTATTTCAGTATTAGATGAAGAGAAGATTCCCAACTCCCACATGATAAATAGTATATAAATAGTCTTAAAGTGTTTTTTAAGATGTGTTTTAGGATAAGACAATTTTCTAGAAGCATTATTAAAAGGAAAACTAATTAGTCTTTGTTTTATGTGCACACTTTCTATAGGAAATAGTTTTCAAATTTATTGCCTAGCCAGCTAATTAGCTTTTAAGTACTCAGCAGCCACATTTGAATTGCAATGAGGTATTATTTAACTCCAGTTAATGTTTATAACAGTCAACATCACCTCTGTGTTAGGAAAGTTGTTATCAACTGTTTAAACGCATCATTAGTGACAGTCTAATGGGTACTTTCTTTCTGGAAGCTTTTCAGCTGTGTGAATCAATAGGTTTCACAGTGTTCCTACCCCTGATCTGATGATAATCCATGTATAGATTTATAGCAAGAAAATAGGTTTTAATGGCAACATTATTGCAGTGAGCAAAATTTGCACAAATGTTCAGCAGGAGGGGAAAGCCCTAGTAAGCTATGGTACATTTACTTAATGGAAAATTATGTGGCTATTATAGTGATAGACAAGTAGCAAGGTATTGATTTTTTTTTTTTATTGTAGGCAAAAGCCAGTTAAATGAGTGTGTAGTAGATCGAGCTATATCTGGGAAATGTCATGAAGCCTTTAAAAACGATGTGGGAGAAGGCTTACTAATATAAAGAACAATTAAGCATAAAATTATATATTCGACTTGTTTACAGATTAACTGAAAATACCATTTTGGGATCATGAGACTGTTTATCACTTTTGTTTTTATCTGTTTTCCAGTTTAGTGATATAGTTTCATTACTTTTATTGCTTAATAAAAAATGAAAAAACTGCTCTGGCGCGTGCCCCCCACCAGATCGCAACGGCAGATGTGTTGCCGTTAAATGGTCTTTGAGGTTTCCTCGGTGACTTTCCTCGTGAAGGGGAAGGGGACCAGTAACTGCGATAAGGCGTCACTGTGTGACAAGGCTGTGTGGAGTCTGACTCACGTTGTGTTCAAGGCGCCTTCGCCCCCTCACCCCTGCTGCACAGTCTGATTCTCACTGTTGCTCCCCAGGAGAAATTCCAGATGCAGCTTTTATACATGCAGCAAGGAAAAAGCGCCAAATGGCCCGAGAACTGGGAGATCTCACGCCTCATGAAAATGAGCCTGGGAAAGGCCGCCTGGTGAGAGAGGACGAGAATGACGCCAGCGACGATGAGGATGATGACGAGAAACGGCGTATCGTTTTTTCTGTGAAGGAAAAATCACAAAGGCAAAAGATTGCTGAGGAAATAGGTAACCTGATTGAGTCGCAGAGCGAGCCAGTCAGAAGCACTTAACTGCTTTATTAGAGGAATGTTCTTGTTTGAGTACAAGTGTCTTGAGATTTTTTGAACATTAGAATGGCTGTGTTAGCAAGTGTTTATTGGAATGATATGCATACATAGCCACAATCCTCTCACTATTCCTGGAAGATCCCAAGGTTTGTTCTCCCGTTATTGAGCTGATGTCAAGTTCATGGAGAGTAAGTAACTCATCTGTTTTTAGCCATTGCAATAGTCTTCCTGTAGCCTCAAGGGATACTGTTTGTAAGACAAGTGATGTCAGGAGAATCAACTGAGAGGAGATTCTAATAGAGGTTTGGGTAACCTTGAGTAAATAGTCATGGTTGTGTGGGAACCAGGCTAGCATCTCTTGCTACCTGTTTTCCAGCTGTTATTTACTCTGGTTGCCATGGTTGCAGGTATTGAGGGGAGTGATGACGATGCTTTGGTAACAGGAGAGCAAGATGAAGAGCTCAGCAGATGGGAGCAGGAGCAGATAAGAAAAGGAATTAATATCCCGCAGGTAAGACCCAAAGGATATGTTACATACTACACATCAGAAGAGAAGCCCCTGTTGGTCTATTCTGTTAAAGCAGAAACACTCCATATTGAACATCTGCCAAAGTGATACAATCAAGAAAACCACGTGAGGTTGTTTTCCAGTAGGTTTCTAGAAGAAACTGCGTGATATTGTGCCTTATAGTTAGAATGATGGATGAATTTCCAATTTCTTAGATCCATGATCAGTATAGTCCTTTAGCCAGTAGCATTAGTTGCACCCAGCTCGTTAGAAATGGAGATTGCCATGATGCACTTCCTAGGTGTACAATGAGAGACTTTGGGAGGGCCAGTTATTTTCATAGAAATTTTAGTATACTGTGGAATAAGCTGATACATATCAAGTATTGTAGTTAGTAGTGTTCTGAGGTGGAATTTGCACTTGGGTGGTATTAAGAACATTGTGTATAGCCCTTGTCTAGACTCGAGCAATAGTGTTTTTCTGGTTACTTGTTGAATTCTTCATTGAGTGGGGAGTTCAGCTTGTGATTTTAAAGTGGAAAAATTTTAAAAATAATGAAGGAAGAAGGGGAGGGGAAAGTGGAAAGTATCATTATGTTCTTAAAACTGTTTAAGTGAAACTTCTTCCCTTTATGTAATTTTTTTTTTTTAAGTAAGCAGATTGGAAGAATCTTGGCCCTGCTGTCAGGAGTGGTGGGGTGGAATCTCTGGTTGCCCTTTTCTGTGACCTTGGGCAAATCATGTTCCACAGATAGCATGATTATCTTGGATTATTTTTAATAAGACTTTAATAAGTCTAAACTTTTCTGAAATCTGTTTTCTTACAACTATTATTAGAAGTGAACTGCTCCCATCAATCCTGCAATTAACTTATTGTTGACTATATAGTTTGAGAAGTGGGTATCATTTTTGTTGTTTGTGTTTGAACATTTTCACTGATAGCCTCTAGTTTTTATAAACATCCCGTTTTTTTCTAGGTCCAAGCAAGTCAGCCCACGGAAGTGAATATGTACTACCAGAACTCTTACCAGACAATGCCTTACGGCTCATCCTATGGCATTCCTTACAATTACACGACCTATGGATCGTCGGATGCCAAATCTCAAAAAACAGATAATTCAGTCCCTTTCAAAACTCCCAGTAATGAGATGACTCCCGTTACTATTGATTTGGTAAAGAAACAGCTTAAAGACAGGTAGGGCAGATCAACCTCCTGAAGACCTGTCTAGCTTTCCGTTCCCTCAGGCCACATGTAGTCTTGGGTGGCATATGCAGAGTGTCCGCCCGGAAGATGCCCAAGCCCATCCTCCAAAGCTAAGCCGAAGATGACTGCACCCTTTGTTCTGCTACCTTCTTGGAATACTTCTGTGGAAGCCTCGAAAGTTAGAAAAATGCCACTCCATGATCTTGTTGAAGACAGTGCTGAGTTTGTACTTCTTGGACTCTGAAAAAGTGTAGACAAGATATGGGGGGAAGAGAAAAACAGTGAGATTTTGATAAGGCCACCAAGTAACTTTATACAAAGTCTGTAAACTGCCCTTTTCCTTTTTTTTGAGGAAAAAAGCAGTACAGATGAAAAGATGCCATTCCAAATATTTTTTTGCTCTAATCGTGGCACTGAATGCATTATTGTATTATTGCAAGCGTCCTGACAGCCTCAACCCTCGGGTGTAAATATGGTATATTTATCCTTTTGTGTTCCTAAGGTTGGACTCCATGAAAGAGTTGCACAAAGCAAATCGGCAGCAGCACGAGAGACACCTGCAGAGCCGAGTGGACTCCACCAGGGCCATTGAGAGATTGGAAGGGTCTTCTGGGGGTATTGGTGAACGGTATAAATTTTTGCAAGAAATGCGAGGGTATGTCCAAGACTTGCTTGAGTGTTTCAGTGAAAAGGTAAGAATGCAAAAATACTAATCTCTTTGAATAAGGCAAAATGACAGAGTTCTAGACAGCCTTGCGTAGAACATCCTGTAGTTGTTAGAAACTGTCCCCTGATTCCAACTTTGGAAGCGATGAAAAGTCTTGCTTCATTTTCCTCACTTTATTAATGGTATAATCTCAGGGTGGAGGGGAATACAGGGTCTTTGTCAGGAAAAGTGATATGCCAAAAACACAGTTAAGTGAGATTGTTCAACCGGCACTGGATTACTAGAATCCAAGGGACCCAGCTGGTGGAATATTATTTCTTATGGTTCAGGTTTAAACTTAAATTCAAACTGTTCCTTTAGGTAACTCTAAACATGCATAAAATTACAAGATTTTACTAATTTTTGTTTTTTGCTCTGGGTAATTGGTCACCATTCCATTAAGATTTTTCATCTAAATGCTTCATTCATTTCAGAAACTGTTCATTGGACATAATTTCTTTTAGGTCTCAGTTTTTCTAAGTTCATTTTAGCTTGAGTTAATTGGCTTGATTTTTGGTATCCTGTTGTACCTTTTCACAATTTTTTAAAGAGTGAGCTGTGCACAGTAACCTTTTAACTGGTTGTGATCTTTCAGGATGGGTGTGTTGTTTGATGGCTTGTAAGCATTTCTGGACTCTACAGCTTTATCTCTGATAAAAAGACAAAATTATAGTCCTGAAATGTCCTGTTCCTGAACTTTGGATTGGAAGCAGATTTCCCCTTATCATAGGCTAGGATTGGCATAGAGTCTGGTAGGCTAAATTAGTATTTTAACATTGTATATCTCTTGATTAGTGGGTACCCTAAAACCAAAGCTGGCAGAAGAATGCTGCCAGGCTGTGTCTTTCTGGCAGGTCTGGCTGCTTTGAGTTGGCCTGTGGACACAGCCAGGATGGAACATCCCTTGCGCCCTTGCTGGCATTTATCACATTTTTGTCCTTATTGCCCAGTTTCTGGTGAAGTAATAACAGTCTGAATGACAGTATCCCTTGTGCCAGACTGGTCGAGTAGAGTGACGTGTACGGGGTGGGAGAATCTCCAACTTGACCTCTGAGTTGGGGCTGAAAAGGGCTGAGCTGGCATTTCTGTTCTGATAGAGCCACCGCTCTGAGTCGGACGGGCAGAGTGGGTGCTGGAGAAAGGGTCTTGGCATAAGCCATCCTTGTCTGTGAAGAGCACCTTCTGTCTCGTGCCTGTGTTTTGTGTGCACAGTTAACTCTTCAGGATTTTCCAGTAATATGATCAGTGAGGTCATGATGCTTGCATTAAAGGTAGTAAGAGAACTAGTCCAGAGATTAAAGTTGCTGAATTCTAGTGCATTTTGCCTGGCTGTGATTACCTTGTTCTGAGGGAAATGCTTTTTGAGATTGAGTTGATGTAGTTTTTCACGAAAGTCCCCTAGATTTTTTGGGAGCAGAATTGAAGCCTTACAGATTGTACAATGACTGCATTTTAATGAAACGGAGGTAGATATACTGCTTTTTAAAGCTGAGAACTTTGTTTATTCTGATATCTTCACGTCTATTTGGTTTCATTAAGAGAATGCTCCTGTGCTGCTGATTTGATTGAATCATAAGCTGTCTTCTGGAAAGCCTGCCACTAGGCAGACACAAATATTTAATACCATTAATTATTATGCTATAAAAATACTGTGTTTCTGGGTAAACCGTAAAAGGAACACATTCTTTTTCCCTCTTTTTTTATAATAATTTGAATGGCTTTGGACTTCAGCTTTAAATTGCTTATAAATTATTGTAACTTTTCATTGTTTTCAACTTTCCCTGTAGTCACCTTGCTTATGTGTTCTTTGCCTTAAAGTTGGTCCTAAAATAACAATAGTACCTTTGAGTCAAGAGAAGGGAAAGAGGTCAGGGTGCAGACTCTTGAACTGAATCAGTGTTGTTAAGAAACATGTAGAGCCAGGAATGTGTTTTTAGTGCTTTAGTTTCATGGCTTTCTCTGTAGACTTTGTTAAAAATATATTTCCGTTCTCCCACAGAGAAAAATTAGATTCTTAATTTAAAATTGGATAACTAAATTCTATATGACTAGCTGTTAAAGTAAAAGATTGTTAATTTTCAGGGCTTCAAATATTTCAGGTACTTTTGTCTGTTCCTGAATAACTTTTTTAATGGCTGAATGGGAACGTCTAAAGCATAGTGATGCAGTAGTAATTACTTAGAAAACAAGTGAATGTTAATGATGAGTCTCCTGACTCAGCTGCCAGAGGATCATTGTAGATTTGGGGACATTGTTGCCTATTGTGTGGCGTATTAAAGAACAAAATGACTGCTCCAATTTTACCTTTTTGTGAACATTTGCTACTTTTGCAATGGAATCATGAAGGTTTATAAAATTGCTTTTATTATAGGCATCTTTGTATTCTACCTGACTTTTTTAATTTTCCATTTGCAGTCTGCTCAGTGTAGGAAGCTGCTGTAACACTTGGTGCCAGTGTTCCCAAAATCTAAATAAGGTGTTTTCCATTTGCACTAACCATCAGGAAACTAGAATTTCTGGTTTCCTCAAGTATGTGTAATGGTCATATTAGTGTTCTGTGCAAGTTTCTTAGCATCTGGTTATAACATATTCGTAAGGAAAACATTTTTTTTAAGTTAGGTCTCATGTTCTATATAAAAATTTCATATTCTAGATGGATCAAGTAAATATTTTAGCTAAGGGCATTAAATAACCCGGGGGGGGGGAAATCACTGATTTTGCAAGCTAACAATTTATGTGAATAATTTTATTACAGATTATGGAACAATTTAAACATTTGATAGGAAGAGAAGAGCTTTCTAAATTTGAGATATATTGATTAATGACAGGTTAGTAATAGCTAGGAATTTCATTAATCAATTTGTTTTTTATAATGTGTGATAAAATAGTATAACCGGTTACTATAAGGTACTTGATCTATTTGAGTGGTGAAGCAACTTAATGTTCAAAATTGGACAGTTAGTCTTTTCCTCACTACTGGTAGAGCTGTTTTCATTTCTTTTGTTGGTTTTGGACAGAGATAATGGTTTGCTTTAAGTTAGAACAATTGCATTGCAGATCATGCTGATGGGAAGTTGCAATGGGAATTAGAAAGGCTGTTTCTAAGTACTTAAATGTTTCATTTTAGCAGAAATATTGAACTTTTTGACAGTTCTTTACTTGCACTGTCTATGAATATGGAAGTGTTAACATTCCTTAACCAAACTTTTACTCCATTAACTTAGGCACTGCACGTTCTAGCTCTGTGGATTAAAAGAAGAAGTGATGTTTCCTAAACATTGTAAAACTGAATTGCTGCTCAAACCCTGTTGGGATTCATGATTATTCTGACCATAGAGAGGGCACTTTTTCAGAAACCCGGAAATAATATGGAACCCTCAAAAGAGTAAGCAGCTAAGGAGTTTGGTGTTACGGAGTTTGTTGTATTTTTACAGGTGCCACTGATTAATGAACTTGAATCAGCAATACATCAGCTGTACAAACAGCGAGCTTCCCGCCTTGTCCAAAGACGACAAGATGATATTAAAGATGAATCTTCGGAGTTTTCAAGCCATTCAAGTCAGTCCATCTTGAAGGTTTTTATTATTCATTAAACAACCTTGTTTACTTAGTGCAGCCTAATTAAAATTAGACATCTTGGAGCAATTTTTTTTTTTAATAAGTTTCCTGGCTCTTGTGTCAGGTAGCTCTAATAGTCACGACAGCACGTAGTTGTGTTGTGTTTCAGAAAACACGGCTTCGCAGGAGAGCTCGGAAACATGCGCTCATGTTCTCCTCCCCTTAGAAGATAGAGATGTTGTTAGTAATTTATCTTAAAGCCATTCTCTGCCCTAATTGATTCTCTTTTTCCATTTTCTTCATGCTCTTAACACCAGTATAGGTGCTGTTGTTGATCACAGTGAAAATTTTGGTTTAGGGGCTGTGACATTTTGGGTAAAAGGTTTTGAGTTTAGAGACTGGGATGTTTGGGTGTATATGAGGGACAACTGTACTGGATAGTGTTAGGGAGTTCGGGGTCTAACCCACTGGATAGGCAGTACATTTTCATTTTATATATTCCTTTCTGCAGTTTACCTTATATACTGAGTTTTTTAGAAAGTCAGTGATGCCTATAATCCTTGGAATTTCGTATAAAAATACAGAAATAGAACTTATATCCCTTTCATTAGGAGGTGTTAAGTAGTGTAGCTAAGACTTTAACCAGATGTACTAAATCTTTTACTTCCATTTTTTTCCCGTTGCTCTCCATATTCTTGGTGTTCTAATATGAATGCTTCTGCTGTGGATTCTTAGTGGTTTGCTTGTCATCTTTTTGTTCCTTGTGCCAACAGTTCTCAAATAGAAAGGTGCATGAGATCTAGCCAAGATGTTCACTGAAGTGCAGATTCCTGATCGTAGCCCTAGCGATTGTTACTAGGTCTTACCTGTCCAGAAATCTGCATATTATACAACCACTCCAGGTGATTTAAATATAAAGGACTGAAATTCATTGTTACTGAAAACATTGCTTTGCCATACACTGTCCTTCAAGTAAAAAAAAAAAAAAAAGACAATGGATCCCCCAAAAATCACTCAGGGCTTTAGCGAGTTGTCACTCAGTGATGGGATCCTCGGAGCTGAGGCCAGCTCAGCTGCGAGCCTCGTTGGTGGCTTCCACTTTCTATTTTTGCTACAAAAGTCTTAATTTCATTATTGAAAGTGGTCACTTCAGTGACTGATGCATCCTTCCAGGTTCACTTTTGATCTGGACAGAACCAGATTTCTGGGGCTAATTACAGGTAACCCCTGAATGACTGCGAAGGAAAGTAATCTCCTCCCAAGTGACATGTGTGGGTTGTACATATCATGAAGTACTTTTTCTCCCACGTAGAGCCTGTTCTCTGCAGTTACTTATGAATTTTGAAATAGGATTGACTGATGAGTTAATTAGATTGAAAGTTGGAAAGAATGTGAGAGTGAAAAATCCCATCATAGAGGGTGTTACTATTCATTAAAAGCAAAGATTTGAGGATAATTACAGGGAGACTAAGGAATCAATTCATTTTCTTACAGTTTTCTTTAAGAAGCAAAGAATAGCCGAAAATGCATTTCTTTTGTACTTATAATATTCATTCACAATTTCAGAAATAAAGAAGGCTTCATTTCACTTGAGTCATCTATAGTGACACTTATTTCATAATTTACATTTTATAACCATATAACAATAGCAATATTTTCAGTTTTAATTATAGTGATGAATATTCTTTAAAGCATTTGTTAAATGAAGAATACCCTTTAAAAATTAGGAATCATTTTTGTAGCATGGGAGTATTTTTAGTTCACTTACGGTTATAATGAACTCACGGTTGAGGTGGGGATGATGTATTTCTTGTTGATTGTAGTAATTTTTTACTAATTAGTGAGCTCTGGAGTACACCTCCCATCTAAAACAAGCTGTTTTGCAGTTCTAATGAAAACTAGTCAGGATGGTAGGAGATTTAAAATAGGGTCTAGAATAGGATATACTGAAATAGAAAGTTACTTTTTGGTGGTTTTCCTGTTGCTGTTTTTGATGATACATCTCTGATAATGGGAGGGAAAGCACCAATCTTAATTGGATTTCTTTCATCTTTCTTGTGATTTTACCATATACCACTTGATCCCTTCGGATGATAATGTCCCATTCCGAGTCAAGTATCTGACTTGAAATGCTTGGGAACAGAAAGTGTGTTTCCATATCCATGCAGTATCTTGGTGGTAGGCTCCAGAGTTGGTTTGCAGTATCTTGGTGGTGTGGCAGGCCCCAGAGCTGGTTTGCAGTATCTTGGTGACAGGCCCGGGGCTGGTTTGCAGTAGCTTTGGTGAGTCCCAGAGCTGGTTTGCAGTATCTTGGTGGTGTGGCATGCCCCAGAGCTGGTTTGCAGTATCTTGGTGGCAGGCCCCAGAGCTGGTTTGCAGTATCTTGGTGGCAGGCCCCAGAGCTGGTTTGCAGTATCTTGGTGACAGGCCCGGGGCTGGTTTGCAGTAGCTTTGGTGAGTCCCAGAGCTGGTTTGCAGTATCTTGGTGGTGTGGCATGCCCCAGAGCTGGTTTGCAGTATCTTGGTGGCAGGCCCCAGAGCTGGTTTGCAGTATCTTGGTGGCAGGCCCCAGAGCTGGTTTGCAGTATCTTTGGTGAGTCCCAGGGCTGGTTTGCAGTATCTTGGTGGTGTGGCAGGCCCCAGAGCTGGTTTGCAGTATCTTTGGTGAGTCCCAGGGCTGGTTTGCAGTATCTTGGTGACAGGCCCTGGGCTGGTTTCCTCTGTCCCTGATGCTCACAGCCTGAAGGTGATGTCATACACCGTTGTTGTTGTTGTTGTTTTTCATGCCTGTGTTTTACACGTCACCTGATACAGGAGAGGTTCAGATGAGAACAGGAGTGGAGATTTTCACTTGTGACATGTTGATGATCAGAATTTTTTTTTTGAATTTTGAAGCATTTCAGATGTTCAGATTAGGGATCCTCAGCTCTACAGTCCTGTTCCTGGGGAACAGTGAGTAGGGTCTTCACAAAGCTCATGGAAAGTGAATATTATGAATAAAAACTCTACACTGACTTCAGAAGATTTTTTGCACCTAAGTGAATTTACATTTCAGTTACGCTTCTCCATGACATTTTTGAGGTATCTTCATATTTCCCAGAATATCTTCACAATGTGGAGCCGAAATGGAAAAACTAGGTAGCGTAGCAGATAGATGTTGTTCTTACTGGTCCTTCCGCCTCAAGCGAGAGACCGGAGAAATCTTTTCTGGGGCAAGAGAACGAACTTAGAGAAAAGAACCTGGAAAAACAGTATGTCAGGTCCCCTCTAGGAATTAACACTCTCCGACAATGCTGCACACTCCACTTTCAGTTCTAGTGATCTCCAGAAAGGGCAAAACAAACAATAGAACAAAAGGTACTAAGGCAATAGGCAAAAAGAACAAGCATTTAAAAAATATTTAATGCGTTACTAATATCAAAGGATGATAGCAATGTATTAATGCAAGTATGGGATAATTTAGTAGAGGGACATTGTAAGAACGAGAACCACCTCTTGGAAACTACAGTTATGTACTTGATAATAACTGAAGCATAAATTTAAATGAAAGTTTCAGAAACCAAAGCCAGAAAATTAACCTAGGAAGTTTTTAAATGAGAGATTGAAAGTGGGAGTGAACAAAAATACAGGAAATGTGCCAGGAAAGAATAGTGCTGAGAAAGTGTAAATCTTATTCATGATACAATTTTCAGTCTGCAGTCTTGCTTTGTCTGAAAAATAGTGCTAGGGAATATATTTCTACAGATTAGCTCTTGCATCAAAGCTGTTTTACCTACCTGTGTTTCTTTGCTGTCATTCCATATCATTCAACATGCAATGTTAAGTTCTTCTTTCTTAAAAGTGTGATCTATGATTTTTCCCTTTTCAGAGATAATTTAGATTTTTTATTTACTTGGCTACCATGACGGTATAAACTAGTCCAGTTACATAGGCAAAGGAATAGTGAGTAAGCTTAATTGTGTTTGTGTAGGATTGAGGAAACCTTGAAAACGAAATTATTCTTTGATTATTCTACGTGTTTTTATGGGAATGCAGAATAATACTGAGATTTGTTCTAAACTAAAAACCTACCCAGTTTGCTAGTGATTGCAGAGTCGTGTTGGGATTAGCAAGCAGTCTGTCATGATGGCTTATTCTGTGCAAACTCTTTCCCCCTAATTGCTGAAGACAGGCTTTTAATTGTAGCCATTGTTGTTTTACAGATAAAGCTCTGATGGCACCAAATCTTGATTCCTTTGGTCGTGATCGGGCATTGTACCAAGAACATGCAAAACGTCGGATTGCAGAGCGAGAGGCCAGGAGGTAATTCTGCAAAAGCTTGCTGCTTTGTCTGGGGAGGGAGGAGTCGCTCTTCCATGCATTGGGAACTTGGGGATGTTTGTTGTTTAGGACTCGGCGTCGGCAAGCCCGAGAGCAAACCGGGAAGATGGCTGATCACCTTGAAGGCCTTTCGAGTGATGACGAAGAAACGTCCACAGATATTACTAATTTCAACCTGGAAAAAGGTTAGATGTTTATTTGAAAATGAGATCCGTCCGTTTGTTTGCTGCATGGGTGTGGTTTTTATGAGGTGATTGGGAAGTTTCATGGTGCATGCTTTAGGGCCTGAAATTTGTATTCATTTTTATTTCTGAGTATTGTGATGAATCCTCAAACGCATGGGTCATATCTTCGCACAGAATTTATTTATTTATTTAATACTTGCATAGTTAGATTGAAAAGAATGAGAAATGCTTACTGTGTTACCAAGTTTGTTTGTTTTCTTTGTTTGAACATGGATGTGTGTTGCTGAACCATTTGAAGAATAACTTGTGGGCATCGTGACATTTTGGCTGTACAGACTCTGTGTTTCGTAACAGCAGTGTTGTTCTGTGTGTGCTCAGTACCATCATCATGCATTAACAAATTAACCTACGCTTCCTAATATTGTGTCCCCATTAACTGTCCTCAGTGATGTTGCCCTAAAAGCACGTTTTGGGGAAACTATTTTGTAAGTTATTTTGAGATTTTTGCTTTATGTTTTCCAAGATAAGATCTAAGCAAGGGTAATGATCTGCATTGGAAAGTCAGATACACAGACAGGAGGAGAGACAGAAAGAAAGATCTTCATCCGCCAATTCACTCCCCAAAAGCCACAACGGCTGAGCTGAGCTGATCTGAAGCCAGGAGCCCAGAACTACTTCGGGGTCTCCCACACGGGTTTAGGGTCCCAAGGCTTTGGGCCGTTCTCTACTGCTTTCCCACGCTGCAAGCAGGGAGCTGCATAGGAAGTGAAGCTGCTAGGATTAGAACTGGCACCCATAAGAAATCCTGGTGTGTATAAGCTGAGGACTTCAGCCGCTAGGCTGTTGTGCTGGACCTGGTTATTGATTTCTTTAGACCTAGAATGTTCTTCAGAGCTTGACACATTTGGTATATCCCTGTTATTAGTTTAAGTCAGGCAGCTTATTTATAGAATATGTTGTGTTCTGGATTGATCTGTGTGTTTTCTCATTTAACTTCTTCATGTGTTCATTGTGCTGATTGAGTATGATTGGTCTAATTTTAGTATATGTGCTGCCGAAGTGAGCACTTACGAGTGATGGGTGTAAAACTGTGGCTTCCAATTCTGAAACTTTTTAGTATGGATGTGACACTAAAAGATTTAGGTTTTGGAGCATTTTAATATTTCTTATTTTCAGATTAAAGATGCTGAGCAGTAAATACACATTATCCCCAGATGCTAAAAAAATCCAAAATTAGGTCCTAGTGGTTGTGTTCATTTACTCTATTGGAAAGGCAGAGACACAGAGAAGATTTGAGCCATCCTCTGTTGCCTCGCAGGGAGGCATTAGCAGGAAGCTGGGATTGGAAGCAGAGCGTTGACTTGAACCCGGACCCTCTGCTGTACGGTGCCCACATCTGAGTGGGGCCTTGACCACTGCCTCACAGCTGTCCCTGGCCTGAGGATTTCAGATAAGAAATGTTCACTCCCTGCATATTCAAATTTAGGTCTAGGAGCCTGATGAGATTTAGATGAAGTCTTTTTTGTTTTGTTTGGATAAGGTTCACAAGATTCTGCTTCTCATTAATAGTGTCACATAGAAAACATTAGCTGTTTCCATTATTAGTGATGTTTAGGCAGTTTTGCAATAAAGAATGTCAGAATTTTACCTCTCCATTGAAAAATTCTCTTTGGGGACAGCTCTGTGGCATAATAAGCTAAGCCTCTGACTATGGTGCCAGCATCCCATATGTGCACTGGTTCGTGTCCTACCTGCTTCATTTCCCTTTCATCTCCCTGCTTATGGACTGGGAAATCAGCAGAAAATGGACCAAGTTCTTGGTTCCCTGCACCCATGTAGAACACCCAGAAAAAAGCTCCATACTCCTGGCTCAGATCAGCCCAGTTCCGGCCATTGCGGCCATTTGAGGAATGAATCAGTAAATGCATTCTCTCTCTTTCTTTTTCTATGTCGCCTGTCTATGACTCTGCCTTTCAAATAAAAATATGTTTTCAAAAAAGGATTTTTTTCCCAAGCCATCTGGGGCTTCATATGAATCTTATTCCCAAATAACCTGTCACTTACAGATCATAACATCCATTTATCAGCTGCGTGACTGTCAGTTATTACAGTCATCTGTGGTCTTTGAAAGGTACAACATAATTGGCCCCTAATCATGATGTTCATAGGTTATTGACAGAGTGATTGGTAGCAGCGAAGTTTGTTCTTTATGCAGTCAAGCTGCCGTGGTGACTGAAATTTGAATTATGTCATTGGAGAACATTGGAGGCATTGTTTAACCAAATCCTGGTCACAGAAAGTTGTACATGTTGCATCCATGTGAAATAATGACAAAACGAAAACTAAACTTAGCTGTTAACAATTGGTCCTTCCTTAATGAACTTGTTGTGTTCATAATTGAGCTGCTATGAAAATGCTGAACTGTGTTTTTCTTCATAGTAAATTATGATTCCCTGATGGATTTTGTCATTACTGTTTGTAGATCGAATATCCAAAGAGTCCAGCAAGATTTTTGAAGATGTCCTTGAGAGTTTCTCCTCCATCGACTGTATTAAGTCACAGTTCGAAGCATGGCGTTCAAAATACTACACTTCCTACAAAGATGCTTACATTGGCCTTTGCCTGCCCAAGCTGTTCAACCCTCTCATACGGCTGCAGCTGCTCACCTGGACTCCTCTGGAGGTGCGTGGCTGCTGTTCCTGGTTAGAGAGCAGTGTTGCCCGATGCTTGGGCAGTTTTAATCTCAGAGAAGAAGATGTAAGCTCAAGCAAGTGTTTTTCAGGAGAGATGGGACCTGAGTTTTAGTGAACAAAAGATTTTGTCTGAGTATTGTCTTGTTACTCTGAAAGGCTAGAAACAAATATACTTTCTATTTTAAATCTTTGCGTGACTTTTGGAATGTGTTTCAGGCAAAATGTCGTGACTTTGAGAATATGCTGTGGTTTGAGTCTTTGTTGTTCTATGGTTGTGAGGAACGTGAGCAAGAGAAAGACGATGTGGATGTTGCCCTGCTACCTACCATTGTGGAGAAGGTGATTCTTCCTAAGCTGACAGGTAAATAGCACATGTCTCTAGTTGGATACCCCAATGCGTTGGGTTTCTCAAGTGTATTTGTAAATTTTTAGTCCAGAGTGTATTTCCCACAGATGCTCATGCCAAGTGATAATTATTAACTGGCCAAGAGATGGCTAAAGATTAAGGTAAATCTGAACCTGGGACTTGGAGATGACCTTGGGAGGTGGTCTTGGAGTTGGATATAATGATGGATCCATTAGTGAGTTTCAGAGCCTCACAGACTACTCAATAATTTGGGCAGAAATACCTTTACCTAGGAAATAATTTCAATAAATGCCATCAGTGTATTATAAGCAAATTAAGGAATGTTGATATGGGAACCTATTTTAAGTAGAAAAATTTGATTTCAGAAATTCTTGGTCACATCTTAACATGATAGAATCTTTTTCACCCAACCTTGATTTTCATTGAGTAGCAAAAGTAAGAGGTTTTACCTCTGCCAGCATGTGGATTTGTCTCAACATTCCCACAGTGGGACAGAGAAGAGAGCTTACATTAGAGGTGGGAACAATAAGTCAAGACTGGTATTTATCATTAGAAGACTTCTTCACTTTAGATTTAAGCAAGCTCCAGTTTACTTCTATATGTCAACCTGTTACAGTTTTTGTTTAGTTTGTTTTGTTTTTGTTTTTTTCTCTCAATAGTGATAGCTGAAAATATGTGGGATCCTTTTTCTACAACACAGACTTCAAGAATGGTTGGAATTACACTAAAGTTAATAAATGGGTATCCTTCAGTAGTAAATGCAGAAAATAAAAATACACAGGTAATGTAGTTATTATCTTCCAGAAGTTTTTTCCCGCACCTCATTTCTGAAAATACCCAAGATTTGAGAGAATGAGTGGTAATTCTAAACCAGCCAGAAATTTCTGCTGACCTTTCACAGCCCAAAGTATGCAAAATTGGAGACACCAATTTTCAGTATTAGAGTCTGTATAAATTTAAGATGTTATTAGTTGAGATAGCTTCCTGTTTGTTTTGTTTATTTTAAACTACCAAACTGCCAACTCAGCTTATCAAGTAATCCTTGAAGAACTGTGTTGCTGGGGCAGTGCTACAGCATAGCTGACTGATCTTTTGTCTGGGATGTTGGCATCCCTTACGGGCACAGAATTGGGTCTGGCCTGCTCTACTTCTGATCCAGCTGCCTGCTAATGTGCCTGGGAAAGCAACTGAAGATGGTCCAAGTACTTAGGCCCTGATACCCATATGGAGTTCCAGGCTCCTGCCTTCAGCCTGGCCTGTCCATGGGGGTTTCAACCTTTTGGGGAGTGAACAAGCAAATGGAAGATCTCTTCCTTATCTTTCCTCATCTCTAACTTAGCCTTCCAAATACGTTTAAAAACATTTTTTTTAATTGTTTAGAAAAAAAAAAAAAAGCTATGTTTCTGGGGAATAAGAAAAATGTTAAACTCTCAAGATAGTTGATAAGTGATTGTTTAAATGCTAAACATTTAAACAGCATATGAAACAAGAGCATGTTTCTTATTAAAGCATACAGCAGCTCCTGGCTGTGAGTGGCTGCAGACTGTTAGCTGGTTAAACATGGAGAAGGGTGCTCTTCATCCTTGTGGAATTTTCATTGACCCCCTTTGGAAAAGCTAGATGAGTCTGACCTTAAATATTAGACTAAGAAGTACTAAGCATTAATGACTTCAGAGACTTCTATGAAGAACAAAAAAATAGAGAAAATGGATAATTCAAAATCAGTACCCATTTGATTTGGAAGAAGGCCTTTTTTCTTTGTTTTTGTTTTGTTTTTTTAAAGCATAATTACAGAGTGTAGGTGAGAGAGAGAGAGATCTTCCGTTCACAGGTTCACTCCCCAAGTGGCTTCAGCATTTGGAGCTAGGTCGGTCCAAAGCTGGGACCAGGAGCTTTTTCTGGGTCTCTCTCATGTGTGCTGGGTCCTAGAATCTGCGTCATCCTCCACTGCATTTCCAGGGAGCTAGATCAGAAGTGGAGCTGTTAGGATTCAAATGGCACTGATATGGTATGCTAGCGCCGCAGACGGATGCTTTGCTTGCGATGCCGAGACTCCAGCCCTGAAGGCCTGGTTATATTATCATTCATTAATATGTATGATCTGCCTTAAACTGCAGGTATTCCTAAAGGCACTTTTATTGCGAATGAGAAGAACTTTAGATGACGATGTGTTTATGCCTTTGTATCCCAAAAAGTAAGTGATTCTTAAGAGCTTGTCAAATAATACTCTTCGTTATTTTTCAAAGAAGGCTTCTGAAGTTCTGGAGAACTAAAGGTGGTTCAGAATAGAAACTTTACCTGTGCCAGATAAGCCAGTGTCTGAAAGAGACCAGATGGCTGGGGACTGGGACTGCTCCCTGACCAAGGAAAGAAGTTAATGTCTCCCATTCTGTCTTCCTGTATATAATTGTTGGAAATTTTGAAGAATTATGTAATTTTTTTGCTTGTTTTTACTTGTAGAAATCATCTGGTAATTATCTGGCACCTACATATCACATATAAAATATTAACTGTGATGTATTTCTCTCTTCTCTCTTTTTTTTTTTTTTTTGTTTTTTTTGTTTAGTGTCTTAGAAAATAAAAATTCGGGGCCTTACTTGTTTTTCCAACGACAGTTTTGGTCTTCAGTTAAGGTAGGTGTGCAAAGGTGTCAAGTTTTGTCTGGCTTTATATATTGTATTTTGAAATGTATTTTAGTTTCTTTTTGTTTGTTTGTTTAAGATTCAGTTACTATTTGAAAGACAGGATGCCACGGAGAGAGACCCAGAGAAAGGGAGAAGTCTCCTTTCTCGGCTGGTTCACTCCTCAAATAGTGACAACTGCCCAAGCTGAGTCAGACCTAAGCCAGAAGCCAGAAACTGCATCCAGGTCTCACACACGAGTGGCAGGTCCCAAGAGTCTGGGCCTTCATCTGCTGACTTCCAGGCATATTAGCAGGGAGCTGAATTTGAAAGTGGAGCGGCTGGGACTTAACTTCTGATCCAGGGTACTGCAGTCACAAGTGGCAGCTTTGTCTATTACTGTAACTTGCCAGCGCTGTGTTTTAACTTTACTTACCTCTATAGATCTAATTTCAAATACAGAATTTCCACTTTGTAAACTATGTTCTAAAAACTGTTCAGGTTTGATATTTCCACAGGAGAAAATTCAAGTTTTAAAGTAAGGTCCAAGCTGCTCCAACAAGATGGCTAATTAAGTTACAGTTCATTTATCCAACAAATTGAGTTCCTTAGGTACTCTGCTGTGTTTTGGTGATGCTTCCTAAGGTAGAAGTAGAGCCCTCATGGCCTTTAAAATCCTGCTCAGTTGGCAGAGAGCAAACCATCATAAGAGTGTTGCTTATCAAAGGTGAAGTTGAAGATAGAGTGGGAGCATGTGACAGGGGATAGGACTTGTCTAGGCGGCTGTCCCAGATTGCCTTCTTCTCTGAGGAGGTGCTGCTTCGATTGTTAGAAGACTCAATAGGAGTGGCCCTCCCCCGAGAAGGGACTGGAGAAAGTGTGGAAGTAGAGGGGCAAAGTCTTGATGGTAGCGAGTTCCTGTGAAAGGCTTTGTTCTCAGAGTTCCAGGAAGCTGTAGAAGAGGCTTTGTTTTGTAAAATTAAGGCATAATTGGCATACACTCACTCTTGAGTTTTGTGAGTTCTACTGAATGAATCTGGTTAACGTCCTCACTGTCAAAGATGTGTAACACTTCCATCATGCTTTGAAACTCCCCATGTCCCCTTGCAGCTGAGCCCTGACTGGCCCCTGCCTCATGTGTTTCATGCCAGTCTTTGCAAGAATGTTAGCAATGCTGTCATGTGGCAGAGATCCTTTCAACTACTTTCTCTCTTTTTTTTTAAAGATACTTATTTTTATTGGAAAGCCAGATTTTACAAAGAGAAGGAGAGACAGAAAGATTTTCTCTCTCACTGGTTCACTCTTCAAGTGGCCTCAATGACCAGAGCTGAGCTGATTAAAGCCAGGAGCTTCTTCTGGGTCTCCCATGTAGATGCAGGATCCCAAGGCCTATCCTGGTCCTCCACTGCTTTCCCAGGCCACAAGCAGGGAACGGGGTGGGAAATGTAGCATCCAGAACTTGAACCGGCATCTGCAGAAGTCATCACCACCAATGGTGTCCAGGCATGTGCAAGGCAAGGATTGAACCATGAGCCTTTGTACCGCGCTGGGTTGCAGTCTGACTGGTTTTGCTTGCCGTGATACATTCTGATTTAGCTGTGTTTTGTGTTAGCAGCACTTCATTCCTCCTTGTTGCTGAGCAATAATCCTCTGTGAAGTGGATTTTGTAGCAGGCTTGATTTTGTTTGCTTTTTTCATCCATTCCCTAACTGAGGGACATTTCCACTTTGAGGTAATGATGAATAAAGCCATGGGAAGGGTTTCCTGAGTACATGTAGATTTTCATTTCACATGGCTAAACCTTGAAGCTGTTTCCCAGGGGTGAGCGTTTAGCCTAGGGGTAAAGATGTTGACTCAGACCTGCAAGGCCCACTTCCAAAGCCTTGGGTTCAGAGCCTGGCTTTAATTCCTCATTCCAGCTTCTGCAGTTTCAAAATCTGGGAGAGCATGGAGTGGGAGAGCTCGGTGATGATTCCTGACACTGGGGTCTTGCCACCTATCAGTAACATTGTTTTGTTTTCAGGGCTTCTGGCTCAGCCTAGGCTGTTTTGGACATTTTGGGTGTGAACCACTCCTGAGTCTTGCTACCTCTCACATAAGTAAAAACATAGGGGAAAGAAAACCTTTCCAAAATGACTATGCTATTTTTGTATTGTTTTTCCAGCAGTACTTCAGTGGTCTAATTCATGACTCACTATTGTTTTTATGATGTCATTCTGCTAGATATATATTGATGTCTCACTGTGGCTCTGATTTGCTTTGCTTAATAACTGATTCTGTTGAGCATGCTTTTTGCTTTTGTAGACTTACTTGCTGTCTGTATGTTCTTTGGTGAAATATCTGTTCAGATCTTTGCTCATGTTTTACACTGGACCGTTCTTACTGAGCTTTGAATTCTGTGTCCTAGAGAAGTCCTTCCTTTATCCTGTCAGGGACTGTGCTCTAGATTTCATATCTAACAAGACTTTGTCTAACATAAGGCCACATAATTTTTTAATCCTATCATTTCTTTGTGGTTTTTGTTTTGTTTGTTTTTAGGGGTTTATTTGAAAGAGAATCATTTAAAAGGCCAATTACAGAGGGAGGGAGAGAAAGAGGGCGAGCTTCTATCTGCTAGATCTCTCGGTTGTTGCAGTGGCCAGGGATAGGCCAGGCTGAATCCACAAGCCAGTAGCTTCATCGGGGCCTTCCTGGTGGTGGCAGGGGCACAAGTATTTGAGCCATTCTTTGCTGCTTTTGCAGGGAGCCAGATCAAAGGTGGAGTAGCTGGGACTGAACCATAAGCACTCACAGATGTCTGTGTTGTTTGTGGAAGTTAAACCCTTTGCGCCACAATCCTGGCCTTTTTTTCTAGGATTTTGTGTTTTTAGGTTTGCATTTAAATGTGTAGTCCATTCCAGATTCATTTATTATAGAGTAATAGGCTTGGGTTAAGATTCCTTTGGTCTCGTTTGTGGGAGTGACTCCCTTTTCTCCTTTAAATTGCTTGGCACCTTTGTTACAAATTAGTTGACCAGGTATGTATGTATGAGTCACTGGCTTTTAGCAAGGAAGTTACCTGAACAAATTGCTATTTTTAAGATTTCTCTAGAGTTAGTATAGTGGCATAGTGGATTAAGCTGCTTATGCCTTTCTCCCATGTTGGAGTGCATCAGCAGATCTCAGAAGTCTCTTTATCTCTATGCTTCTCTCTGGCACTTTGCTTTTCAGATAAATTTTTTTTTTTTTTAATCATGTTCCTGTGTGAAAATAGAGGGAAATAGGGTAGACAGGATATTAATGGTAAGAAGCGGAGTTGGTGTTTATTGTGTATTTGCAATGGTGCCAAGCAGAACCATTCTTTATATAGAATAATTCTATTAAATCCTGAGTGACTCTGAGATAGACACTACATTTGACTGGATAGTAAGATGGAGTCAGCTGCCCAAGGTGTTCAACTGGTGGTGGTTGGTAGGGATGAGACTCTAGCTGAAGACACTCGGACTCCTGAGCAGTTCTTCTCATTGGGGTCCCATGAGAAAACACTTGCATGGCCCTCATTTTATATATAATGAATTTTGTTCTTTCCCATGAATCCAGAATTAGCTATGTATTATCCTTGAGAAAATTAAATTAGCGCCTTCCCGCATCATTTTCAATAGGTTTCTTAATTTATTATGCTGAGGATCCTGCTTGAGAGCACTGCTTTCTGACTTCATTCGTAGTCACTGGAGTAGTGGCACAGGAGGGTGGCAGTGGGCACTCAAATGGACAGACAGGATAGCAGTAGAGTGGAGGGATTTGAGGGAGAGGTCGAGAATGACATGCAGGCTTCTGGCCTGAGCAGGTGACTGGAAGTTAAGGAAACTTGATGGTGGAATGGGGTAGGGCTTCCGTGGCACGTTAATAGCTTTCACTGGGTATATGAAATGTGAGCAGCTTGAAATGTCAAACATACAACTGTCTAGCTGTTGAAGATCTGTTAGTTGTTAAGTGTTACATCAGCAAGAGCTGGGGACTCTCAGAGTAGCTGAGGCACAATTCTGAATGGAAGACACTTAATGAGACTTTCGTGGTACTTTCTGTGATGGGGCAATACTCTGTGCTGACAGATAGGTAGTCTTGGCTACATTGGCCATTAGTGTTTATGTAGACTCTTTGTTTCTCAGTACTTGAAGTGACCAGTGTCAAGGTACTTAATTACTACATGACTAGTCTACTTTGTAACTAATTTATGTACTTAACCTTTTTTTTTTCTTTCCTAGCTATTAGGAAATTTCCTTCAGTGGTACGGCATTTTCTCCAATAAAACTCTACAGGAGTTATCAATAGATGGTCTCTTAAATAGATACATTCTTATGGCTTTTCAGAATTCAGAATATGGCGATGACAGCATCAAAAAAGCCCAAAATGTGAGTTTAATGATGCATAGTATAATTTCTGAGGCACATTAAATTAAGATGACAAGCTTTGCATGAAGAGGGATTTGAGAATACTCCTGTGGCATAAAACTGTTTTTAATAATATTTGTCCTTGGCGCCAGGAATACCTAGAATCATGTCTCTTAGTTTCCCGTAAAGTAAAAAAGCTCTTCAGTCTTGTATTGACTGACCTTCATAATTGTGACACTTTGGTAGATGACAGGCCAGATATTTGGTGGGTTTTGTCTGATACGTCTCATGAGTAGCTTTGGATTCTGTATCTGGCAGGGTTTGTCCCAAATTTCCCAGGTGAAGCGTGCTTAAAGTTGACTTGTGTGACCTCTCACTTTGAGAGAAAGGTTTTCTGCTTCCTAACTTCCCGTTGCCCTTGGGCTGCCCCATCCCAGATGTACTCATTTCTTGAAGATCATCATTGGCTTTTGCTGCTGATCCCTTTCTGCATGCTTGAGCTGATTCCCCTCACAAGGCTGACCCCTTCAGCCTCACTGTGCTCACCTGGGCACTCTCTCTACCAGCTGCCATGGTGCCCCATTCATCCTTCCTAGACTGCAACCCTGGGTTACCCTCTGGTGTGGATACTCTGTTAACCTCCCTCAAAGCCAGCTTGGCTGCTACTCCCAGCAGAGTTGTCTACTGAAGTGTAAGGAAGAGGCTACAATTTCATGTCTATACCACACACAGTTTTACAACCAACATTTTATAAAGCAGAATTCATTTTATGTAGACATCCTGGAATACTGGAAAATGAAGCACTTGGGTATCAATTTTATGTCCAGTTCATTTAAGTATCAAATTACTAGTCTTTTGTTTTGAGTACCTGGCCCCATCAAATGAAGTAAATATTCAAATGTATTGTTACAATGAATGTACATAGTTTAAAATAATGGAACTTCACAGTATATTAAATACTGTAGTCCAAATCAGGTCTTTCAGCTAAATAAATTTATATCCATTATCTAGACTTAGCTTTTAATACACAAATTTATTCTAATTATTTATTGTATATTCTTCTTCTGCCTAGGTAATTAACTGCTTCCCCAAGCAATGGTTCGTGAATCTGAAAGGAGAAAGAACTATTTCTCAATTAGAAAATTTTTGTCGATATCTTGTACACCTAGCAGATACAATTTATAGAAACAGTATGGGGTGCTCAGATGTGGAAAAAAGAAATGCAAGGTAATGGTTTTGTACTTAACACTAATCTAGGGTTTCTTTGATCAAAATTAGTATCAAAGTGTTTGAAGCAGGCACATTTATATTTTAGTTTAACTTATATGCTCACTTCATATTATACATTTTGTATTTGTGATGTTTAATATCTTTAAATATGCTGTTTATAAAGATATTATGAGTTCTAGTGAGGAACTTTCCTCTGGAGAGAGAAAAGGCCATGCCTTTCTGTATTGCCTTTATGAAGGATTGGGTTGATCCCAGGCCCTTAGAACGTCAGGGAACTTGGTCTTGACAGAACCATTATGCAGATTTAGACTAAGGGTTCACTTGCAGGTTTGGATAATTCATAGTTTTATGTTGTGTTTTCTATTTATTTGCACGTCATAGACTACTGATTTTGGGTACAAAATTACACCTCTTTTTTTTTTTTCTCATTTCTCTATCACTTTGCCTTTTAATTAAATTAATCTTTGAAAAATTAAAGATAAAGTTAATTTTGGTGACAAATTTTTTGAAATACATGTGTAAATTTTGATATGAGCAGTTACATGAATTGTCTGAATTTTCCTCTCATATAAATATGCATATGCATGTACATATCCATACATTTATGCATATATACATACGTATACATATGAACATAAGTGTGTATTTACATACATACCACACACGCGCATATATAACATGTATAGCATCTGGGTTTTCTGTAATTATGAACTAATATGTATTAACCAGAATATATCGTATTCTAAACTACAATAATATCCTGAAGCTGATTTGGGACTTCTTAGAACTTTTTTTTTTTTTAACAATCTTTACAAAGTTAATTAGGGTAAAAAGGTTCAAGGGCTACAGGAAAATGGGTGAGACTATTAGTTCCGAATTGTTTCCTTCATGTATCTGAGGTAAAGGGGGATTTTAAGGGAGAAGCCCCACCCAGTCTCCCTCCCGTCCCACGCCTCATTTTTGTAAAGGCTATAAAGAGGGAATGTATGAATTATTATCTTTTTTTGTGGACGTTAAGATTTTTATCTCCTATCTTTCTAATGTCAGAGTTTGTGTTTCCATCACATGTGACAGAGCCTTTTTGTGTTTCCTCTTTTTCTTTCTCAAAAAATAGTTTTTCTTGGGAGACAGTTTGCTGCCTTTTATAATAAAATGTGAAAAGCAAAAGTAAAGTTTTTAGTGGTAAAGATTCTTTGGAAGGTAGTTTTGGTTTAGTTTAATTTTGTTCATAGTGTGTATCGTTTTGGTTTTGATTGGTATTCTTGGCACAATCGGGTTTTTTTTTTTCAGTATGTTGCAGTTTTTAACTAGAAAATTTTACTTTTTAGACTTTGATTTACATATATCCAACATTTGAGGGAGTTAAGTATCAGCGAGTAGTGTTAACTTCAGTGTAATGATTCAGCGACAGTTTGCAAAGCCCATTCCTTGCAGCACACACAATGCAGGTTCTGTGTAGGTTGCAGAGTTCATAAAGTGTAGTCCTTTCCTGAAAGGTGGTTTATTTATTTATTTGTTTGTTTATATTGGAAAGGCAGATTTTCAAAGAGAAGTAGAGACAGAAAGATCTTCTTTCTGCTGTTTTGCCCAACTGGCCACAGTGGTCCGAGTTGAGCCAATCTGAAGCCAGGAGCCTGGAGCTTCTTCCAGATCTCCCACGCAGGCGCAGGGTCTTAATTGCTTTGAGCCATCCTATGCTGCTTTCCCAGGTTACAGGCAGAGAGCTAAATGGGCAATGGAGCAGCCAGGATATGAACCAGAGCCTATATGGGAGCCCAGGTGTGCAAGGAGGCTATTTTAGTTAAAGTGGTAAGACAATTAACAATGGCATAGGGTGTGCTTTTTCTCGTGGTTGGTTTAAATTACATGCTCAGTAAGATGTGGTTCCTGGGCTAGCAGCATCAGCACAATGTAAAGTTTCAGGACTACTGGGGGCATAACTACCTCTAGGTCATTCCAGTGTCTGCTACTCTTACCTTAAACGGAGTGTGTGGAATAATTGCCAGCTGAGGTGAGAAGGAGAGTCAGCTTATGTTGTATGTAGTTAGTGCTCCAGGAGTAGAAGTTAGGCTGGCCTTGATGTGACTGTTCCACATGCATTCCAGAGAGGTGGGACTCTGATTTGGAGAGGAACTTGTGCACATTGCTTGGTTTTCGTTCTAGATACTAATGAAAACCTTTGATCAGAATAAAATTGTTTTTTGCTGTTTAACATGAGTCCTGCCACTGGACTTCATAAACGTGTATAAGCTTTATAACATACACAGGTTTTATATAAACATATTTTTTAATTGGCCTTAGTTTGTATATCTCTTAATTATCTCTTAATTATTTTTCTTCTTTAGAAATGTATGGTTAGAAAAATTGGTTACAGTCTCAAATGATTGTCTTTTAAATGTACTAATTAATGGATGTTGTTACATATGTTTCTCTTTCAGAGAAAACATAAAACAGATAATAAAACTTCTTGCAAGTGTTCGAGCTTTGGATCATGCTATGACTGTTGCAAGTGACCACAATGTGAAAGAATTTAAATCTTTGATCGAAGGAAAATAGATCTGTGAGACTGAAAAACCTGTTTGTTTTAATACCATTCCCAGTGTATAAATTTTGTATATATGTAAAGTTTCTTAAGCTGTAAAATACTGATTCTTGTTTTAATACAGAAAACATTATATTCGATACTGTGTCCTTAAATTCGATTTCTTCAGAATGAAAGGAATTGAGATTATTTCTAGAAGTCTTTGAATGTTTTCCTTACTGCCTGTCATACCTTGTTTACAAAAGTATTTTGTATGGTCACTCAAATGAACCCTTTTACTTAATTGCCCTCTGTAAGCAATGTGTGTAGTGTAAGTAATTGTGCGTATATGTTTATACCGCCATGGGCTTACTTTCACACTGGAAATTGGCTGTGTTGTCTGCAGAGGAAGCCTTTTAGCAGAGGGAAATTACTCTGTAGCAAATGATTTTAGGAAGTTACTATACTGTTGCAACAAAAGGGCTGGCAGGTGACTAAGCCAAATGACCTTTTGATTGGAGAAGTTATCCCTGTAGCTGTCTGTGCTGCCTTAAAATGGAGAGTTGAGTTCTGGACTTAGTCTCTGAGTGAATGTTAAACTTTGTCCCTTGAATTGGCATTAACTGTCAAGTGCAGGTTTAATGTGAACTCTAATATATGCAACATAGTTTCGAGTGAAACATAGAAGTTTCGGTTTTGAAATACTGAACCCACAACCTAACTGCATGGTTTGGGCTGACTGTCCTGTCTCAATCATTTTTCTCCCTGCCCAGCTTATGGATACAGCATTTAAATTTTAAATAGTCTCATTATATTTAAAATTCCCACATATGTGAGTTATATATGCAATAAAGGTTATGCCTTGCTGATTAGCCACACCCAGGCAATTTAATATCCATGGTCCTCTATAATGTTTATACCACATTGTAAATATTCAGAGAACTTGTTTTAAAGTTTATGCTTTCCAATTCTGTGATTTTCAAAAAAGGAACTTTTTGGAAATTAAGGACTATTGTTTGATAATTGTATATGTAATTAAGCTGTAGCCAAGCATTAAATTAATTTTTAAGTATATTCTTTGTTGAATTTTTCTGGCATTTCAGGTGACTAATATAGTAAGATTAATAGCAGGTCTGTATGCTCCCTTGGTCAGATAATATTTAGAACAGTATCAAAAGCCCTATTTGCTCTGTGAGCTATCGTTCTTTTTTCTTCTTTTTTTGAGCAGCAAAGGGAGGGAGAGAGAAGGCCGCCCAGGCAGAGGTAGCTCCTCCCGTGCTACTCCAGCTGCATGCAGTGATGCGTGGGCATCCACATGGGGAGCAGAAGGCTAGCACGGAGGCATCATGGAGTGTCCTAGCAGGCAGCTGCCGCTGTTGTTTGGGTTGCAAGCAAAGGTTTAAGTCCTGATCTAAAACTTTGATGTAAAGTGAAGTCAACCATATAACTGTGTATTAAAGAATAGTTTTCCTATTTTTAACCAAATTTCTCATTCCTGAAACAAATGACATTATTTTACGAAAGGAATTTTTTTTAAGATTTATTTTATTTTTATTGGAAAGCCAGATATACAGAGAGGAGAAGAGACAGAGAGGAAAATCTTCCATCCGCTGATTCACTCCCCAAGTGGCTGCAATGTCTGGAGCTGGGGTGGCTGGGAATAGAACCGGCACTCTTATATAGGATCCTGGCGCGTGCAAGGGAAGCACTTTATCCACTCGGCTACTGAGCCAGCCCTATGAAAGGGATTTTTAAATTCAACGGTAAAATTGAACTTTATGAAGGCTGAGGGAGGCTGCTGTTGTGGTGCAGCGGATCAGGTCAGCACTTTCCATGTCAGAGCACCAGTTCAATTTGCAGGCAGCTCCCCTTTAAACCCAGCTCCCTGCTGATGTGCTGAGGAAAGCCACAGAAGCCGTCCCGAGTGCTTGGGCCCCCACCATCCACGTGCGAGACCTAGATGGAGTTCTGGCATCCTGGTTTTCACTTGGCCAGGCCGTTGTGGCCACTCGGGGAGTTAACCAGCAGTTAACCAGCAGATGGAAGATTACTCATCTCTTTCTCACCTCTGTCACTTGGCCTTTCAAATAATCTTTTTAAAAAGCTGAGTTTGGGCCCGGCGCGATAGCGTTTTGTGGTTAAAGTCCTTGCCTTGCACACCCGGGATCCCATATGGGCGCCGGTTCTAATCTCAGCAGCTCCACTTCCCATCCAGCTCCCTGGCTTGTGGCCTGGGAAATCAGTCGAGGACGGCCCAAATTTTGGATTGGCTCAGGTCCAACAGTTGCAGCCGACTGGGGAGTGAACCATCGGAAGGAAGATCTTCCTCTTTGTATATCCACCTTTCCAACAAAAATAAATAAATCTTTAAGAAAAAAAGCTGAATTTTTAGTTTTTTTCTTTTTTAGTTTGTTTTGAAGTAATCCTCTAAATTCTAAGTAGGTAAGAAGTGTTTCTGGAAGGGAAAGTTGTTAAAATAATAACCACAGGGACTGGTGCTGTAGTGCAGGGGCTGGGGTGAGGTTGCCAACTACAGTGCTGGCATTGCATGTGGGAGCAGGTTCTGGACCCGTGTGCTCCAGTTCCAGTCCAATCTCCTGCTGGTGGCCTGGGGAGGTGGCTGAGTGCTTGGACCCCTGTTATCCACGTAGGAGACCCCGAGGAGGCTCCTGGCTCCTAGCTTGCAACTGGCCCAGCTCTACCCACTGTGCCCATTTGAGGAGTGAGTCATCAGATGGATGATTCTCTGTTTCTCTCTTTCTGTAATTGCCTTTCAAGTAGATAAAGAATGATGAGGACTATCACAGCCACTCATATCCCTCTCCATGCCTCTGGTGTCCTAATGTGAGTGAGCACCTGCTCCTGTCACAGGGTTCTCTCCTGTGTAAGCGGGCTGAGGTGTCTTGGAGATGTGGTTCTTGGGAGCAGCCCTCAGCTGAGGAAGGGAAGGAGTTGGAGAAGAAATACATCGACATCTCAAGGTATAGGTGTTTGAGTGGAGCAGCTCTCTGAAACTCCGATCTGGGGCTGGGCATTTCATAGCAGCTGACATCACTGCGTGGGTACCCCTTGTATCCCCCAGTGGAGTGCCTCGTTTGTGACCTGGTGACTGCTTGTCAAGCAGTTTCCTGCTGAGGTATTTGGGAGCCTATCACCCACATTGGCAGAGAGGTGGAGTTCCAGGCTGCTTGCTTCAGCGTGGCCCAACGCTGGCTGTGGCTCACTCATTGGCTGGAAGATGTCTCTGCCCTGTCTCTTCCAAGTAAAATGAGAATGAAACATTTAAAAAATAAAACAACCACCAACATAAGAATATGTTCACCTCAGTCTCAAGGGATGGAATGTCAGCAAAGCTTTGTTGCGATGAAATACTACAAACTAAGTGGCTTAAAGCAATGGAAATTCATTCTTGCACAGTCAGGAGGCCAGTGACTGGAAAATGTTGGCAGGGCTTTGCTGTGTCCAAAGGTTCTGGGCATCCCTCCTTCCTCATCTTCACCTGCAGGTGTCAGCTGGTCCTCCTCGGCTTCTGGCCACCTCATTCCAACACTGCTGCTGTCTGCACATTCCTTCCTCTGTTTCCTCTCTCTCTTTTTAGATTTATTTTATTTTTATTTTGGAAAGTGAGATATACAGAGGGAGGAGTTGGACAGGAAGATCTTCTGTCCTATGGTTCACTGTCCATGCTGTCTTAACAGTCAGAGCTGAGCCAATCCGAAGCCAGGATCCTCTTGCGGGTCTCCCACATGGGTGCAGGGTCCCAAGCTGGGCTGCTGAGATTAGAGCCGGCATCCATATGGAATCTCAGTGCGTACAATGCGAGTACTTCAGCCACTAGGCTGCCATACCAGGCCCTCTTCCTCTCCTTTATAAGGACATTTATGATTGTATGAGGGGCCCCCCGAATAATTCAATATAATTTTAATGTCTTTGACTCAAATCATATTTGCAAATCCTTTTTATACCCAAATTGATATTCAAAGCTCTAAGGGATCATCAGCCTATAGGTATCTGGAGAATTTGTGTTTATCTTTAGATATTTATTTTTATTTGAAGAGCAAATTTTACAGAGAAAAAGGAAAGAATGGTCTTCCATCCACTGGTTCACTCCAAATGGCAGCCACAGCTGAAGCTGAGCCAATCCGAAGCCAGGAGTCAGGAGCTTCTTCAGGGTCTACCACACTGAGTGTAGGATCCTAAGGTCTTGGGCCATTCTCTGCTGGTTTCCCAGGTGATAAGCAGAGCTGGATCAGAAGTGGAGCAGCCAGAACAAGTATCAGTGTCTGCATGAGGATGCTGGTGCTACAGGCAGATGGTTAGCTTGCCATGCCACAGACCAGCCCCTGCGGCCTCGCACTGCGCATTGCTCAGTTTCAAGGGTCGCCAGGGTGTCACTCTGTCTCTGCTGACACTCAGGCTCTGACTAAGCAGACTTTTTCATGTCAGTAAACCTGCGTTCTGAGTTAAAATTTGCTGAACATTGGTTCAGCTCTCTTCAAGTGCTACAACCAAAAAAGCAGAAGTATAAAGATAGGGACAAGAGGGAAAAAATAACAAATACTTTATTAATTTGAAAGGCAGAGTGATAGTGATATAGCCAGCTTTCCCCCATTGGCTCAATCCCAAAATAGCTCTACTGGTCAGGGCTGGACCAGGCCCACGTCAGGAGCCACGAACTCCATCCGGGTCTCCTGCAGTGGGTGGCAGGGACTTAGTCTGATGTGCCACAATGCTGACTCCCCAGAAATAACATTTTTTTTTTAAGTGACTAATATGTCTTCAGATCCCAGACAGCTTATTTCATGGCTGACATATCTGTCTGGAAAGGATTAGGGAAAGTTGTGCCTTAAACAACTTCAGCGAGTCCTGCTGCCCTCCACTTGGCGTGGAGAGAAGCAGCAATTTCAACTCAATGAGACATTTCATCTCCATCTCCTTTTGTCCCAAATTGGAAGGGGGCGGGAATGGGAAGACACCTTCCGGAAGAGCCTGGCCCTGGAGCTCCCACTCTGGAAGGCGATGGGGCGTGTGGAGAGGCTGCCATAGTGCATGTATTCCCCTTTGGAAAATGCAGGCTTGCTTTCAGGTGCCAGCTCTTACTCAAACTCAGATTCCAGTTGGCATATGCAGTAATACATTCAGTGACACCACCATCTCAACCTGAAGCCAGTTTTTGTTTCTGGAACCAATGGAGGCTGTGGTGAGGCATGATACTGGAAAAGCCAAATGAAAAAATTCCGTTTGCACTTAAAAATGGTCTTCAGTGGAAATGGAGTTTCGGGGAGCTGGGGAGCAGTGCGGGGGATGGGAATAGGGGACAAGAATGAGTACAGATTAATGGGCTTTTTTGATATAAGCTTCATTTTGAGGCTGCTGTAACAAGCAAGCCAACTTTTCTATGGAAATCATTAGTGCAATGATTCTCAGAGCTACACCCAAGTTTTTTTTTTTTAGCATTTATGTTTCTGGTTGTGGAAGTGGCTTTTCTAAAATGCAGCGTCAGTGTTCTGAAATCAGCGTGGGTCTTGCTTCCCTAAAATGACATCTCGTGACAGGTCCTGGAAGGAGGGACATGATTTTGTGCAACGTATCAAAAATTAAATTCTGCTTTTGCTGTTAAAATAAGCAAGAAGGAAAAGCGAGTGAAAACTGTCGCGGATTGCTGCATAACGTTCTCAATTCCTCTTGGTCCTGTCGTTTCTAGACTTCATTCTCATATTAAGGTCTCTTCCGTGGGAAGAGAATGAGAAACCAGCAAGACACCTGTGTGGTTTCTGGAAATGAGAGGATGAGATAAAAGGTTAGAGACCTCTTCTGGGTGCGGCGACAGCCACAGTCAGCACAGCCATATTCTGGCTCTGGTTGAGTCTGGATATCGTGGTTGCACGCTATCTCCTCTTTGCCATACAGCACAGTCAAGCGCTCCGGAACACACGGTTAGAGAGGAGGCGCCCGAGCTTTCTCCCTGTGTCCCAACCCGGCACTGCCGCCAGACACCGTGGACAGCTCTTGCCTGGCGCAGCGAGGCGGCTGTTGCAACCCTCCCCCCGTCAGGCAGCTGGAGGTGGCAGGGG